ATCAGAAAATACTGGCAGGCAATTTGCATTCTTCTGCACGAAAGAGACTCTCTTGGACTATCCAGCAGGACAATTACCCTAGGCACAAGGCCAAGTTGACCCTCCAGTGGTTACAGCAGAAAAAAAGAATGTTCTGGAGTTGCCATAGCAGTCTCCAGACCTTAATATCATTGAGCCACTCTGGGGAATGTGCAGTTCATGCAAGACGACTGCATGATCTGGAGGCATTTTGCCAAGACGAATGGGCAGCTATACCACCTGCACGAATTCAGGGCCTCATTGGCAACTATTACAAAAGACTGCACGCTGTCATTGATGCTAAAGGGGGCAATACACAGTATTAAGAACAAAGGGTATGCAGACTTTTGAACAGGGGGGTAATTTCATTTGTTTACTTATTGCCATGTTTTGTTTTATGATTGTGCCATTCTGTTATGACCTATAGTTGAATATGAATCTCATAAGAAATAAAATAAATGCCTTTTGCTTGCTCGCTCATTTTCTTTAAAAATGGTACATACTGTATAACAACAATTCTCCAAGGATATGCAAACTTTTGAGTACAATCAGTGTCTGAAGGAAAACTGCTTCTGTTCTCTTTATAAATCCCACAATGTTCTGAGAATCCTACTTCATAAGTGCACTCTGAATTATGCATTTGTAAAACTAGGATATTATATAAATAAAAAACAAAGCAGATCGTTATTTTTTACCTTTTTTTTTAAGAAATTACAAAATATTATGATGGTTTCACTTTAAAAATGTTCCCTAGTAACTGAATTCCGTTATCTAAAACTACCTGACTGGTTGGCAGTATTGGCCCTGATGCAGACCCTTTTCACGTGAAACTTTAGAAGGTGGATTCTGGTATTTTATACAGACATGCTATGTGTATTCAATGGTGTTGACATAATGGCTGCCCTATGACTCAATATTTATCTAAAGCAGGTTGGGAGAGGCTATATGTACAGTCACCAGGAGATATATAGTTTATTCCAAGATATACATTTTTCATGGTTCCTTTTTTTATCTTGACTAAACAGGACATGCCAAGATTTCTAATTTCTGTGCGCTCTGGCTGTGAGGAATTTAGATTTAGTTCTGGAATGCAGTAAATGGCTGATGTTGCTCTCTGTGGCCTTTTGAAGTATAAGCTGACACATGCCTTTTCTATACACTGAGCTGTATATAATAATGCAGAACTGAGATAACCCGTTTTTGACTCATAACTAAATCCTGCTAAGAAAATGAATCACATCTACAATACTTATTTTAAATCGAAAGTGGAGACATTACCGAGGTTATGAAATAAACAACTCATATAAATATATGACGCTTTGTTTACCACACCCTATACATTTACCTCCCAACTTTCTGAAAGATCTAATATGCAGGAAAAGTATTGGTTAAACCATACATGTGAATTTTTTGGCCTCTATTTTTTTTCTTATTGTCCATAAAATCTATTTTCTTTGTTCCTTCCTCCAAACGGCTCTAGAGATACTTAGTTCTAGATACCCAGAGGGAAGAATTAGAAATTCTATAAGGTCTTATTGCACCCCTAGTGTCACCCAGCACCTCTGTCACTACACCTTTGACCACCTCATCCTCAGCACCCAGCATCTCTGTCATTGCACTCCAACTATAACTAATTATTAACTCTGTCTCAGTCTATAAAATGGTTATGGCTGATCATATGTAGATTAACTTATTCCTTACACCAGACTCTTGCTTTTAACTGATGTTTTAGGGTTTTTTTTTTTTTTTCATTCTATACCAGTATAAGCAATATTTGTTGTACAAGTAAACATAAGGTCAAAGAATTCCCAGAGCACGGAGTGTTAGCTAATCAGAGATCAAAGCACTTGCCCATCAGGAACCCTGCTTCTCATTAAATTCTCCTACAGACACTCCTCTGACTCATTCTCCTGTTTGTATAAATTTCGGCTTTAGCTATTAAATTTGTAACCAGCAGGTTTTTATGTTTTTTTTTCTACAGGAGGTACAAAGAAACTGAAAAATAGGTTAACCAATTTCCACCTGCCCACAGTACTTTTACTGTTGATGGATGGCACAGCCAAGCTCAGGAACATAAATATGCGTTGCTGAGCACATGCGCAACAAGCTGCTACCATAACCGCTGTATCCACAGGACACACCAGATTACGGTTCCTAGTATCTGGCTGCTTTTATATTATCACAATGTCAACATAGGTATTATGAATGAATTTTATTCATAACAGCTGTGATTCCTATAGCGACACTGTGATTGGCCCACAGCTATCACATGGCACTCATCACTAGAGTAAGCACAGCTGTCATTAATGAAATCTATGATAGCTCAAACAATTGCAGTTATAGTGATAATCACTGTAACAGTAATCACAATGTAAAAAAAAAAAAAAAAATTATATATACATCCCTGAATTCTCCACCCCCCCCCAAGGTACTGCTCTGATGATGTAAGAAAAAAATATATAGCAGAAAAAAAAACATGTTTAAAAATTTTTTATGATTATTTTTGTTTGCGTACGGTCACCAGCCAGTGTCCCTGACCACCACCACGCCAGTCATATGATAACATTGTACTGCAGTAGTGACAGTATGTTTAAAAAAAAATTTGTAATAGATAAAATTTAATTTCTTCATTTTCCAAAAAATTTTAAAATTGTGACAAAAAAAATATAACTTCAGATAACTCCCCTTGCCTCTTACTGAATACCTTGAACTTTCCTTACTTTCCTTCTTATCAAATGCCTTGGAATTTATCTTTGGACTTAAATACCTACTTTCCAAAAAGGGTTCATTTGGGGAGTATATGTACACATACACATATACACTATATTGCCAAAAAAAGTATTGGGAATGTTTGACCATTCTTCCAGAAGCGCACGGTGTTCTATTTGGAGGTCAAGCACTGGTGTTGGACAAGAAGGCATAGCTCAAAGTCTCCACTCGAATTCATCCCCAAACGGTGTTCTATCAGGTTGAGGTGCAGGCCAGTCAAGTTCCTCCACCCCAAAGCTGCTCATGGCCCCATGTCTTTATGGACCTTGCTTTATGCACTGTGCACAGTCATATTGTAACAGGAAGTGGGCCACCTCCAAACTGTTCCCCACAAAGTTGGGAGCATGAAATTGTCCAAATGTCTTAGCTATTGACTCTGCAGATAGCTGGTGACTTCTGAGCACAGTGCGCTTCAGCATGTCCGGACCCCGCTCTGTCGCTTTACGTGGCCTACCACTTCGTGGCTGAGTTGTTGTTGTTCCCAGTTGTTTCCACTTTGTTATAATACCACTAACAGTTGACTGTGGAATATTTAGTAACAAGGAAATTTCATGGATGGACTTATTGCACAGATGGCAACCTATCACGGTACCACGCTTGAATTCACTGAGCTCCTGAGAGCGACCCATTCTTTCACAAATGTTTGTAGAAGCAGTCTGCATACCTAGGTTTTTATACACCTGTGACCATGGAGGCGATTGGAACACCTGAATCCAATGATTTGGATGGGTGTCCCGATACTTTTGGCAATATAGTGTATATACACATACACACACGCACTATAGTTTGCAGACTAACTTTCACACAGACTAAATTATAGGAACTGATTTGGGTTATGTTTACCAAAGAAATGTAGCGGAATACATCTTGGCCTACAATTATGAAGATATTTATTTTCAAAATTGTATAACAGAAACTATGAAAGAAAATGTGTTTTTCAATATTTTAAAACCCAGTGGTGATTACATACCACCAAAAAAAATAGCTCTATTTGTGTGAACACAAATTATATAAATGTCATTTGGGTAGAGTGTTGCATGACCAAGCAATTGCCAGCTAAATTAGTCCAGTGCTGAATAGCAAAAAATGCCTTGGTTATGAAGGGAGTAAAACCTTCTGGAGGTCAAGTGGTTAAAATAAGGCTAAAGCTCCACCTACTGACTGGTCAGAAAAATACAAAATATTTCATTTTATCCACCTGAAAAACAGATCTTTAACATTATTTTTAGTTCTGATGGCAATAAAGAAAAAATATAGGAAACCACATTTTATTCCCTCAAAACATGTAGTGGTCTCTGTGCACACCCTTACTACAGACCGCTACAAAATGCTAGAGGAAGAGTGGGCACATAACTTACTAAACTGGAGATTTGACTCTAGTCACTGTGGTCTCAGTTCCTTCAAGAACAGAGTTTCTGGAACCACTATGCCCACCCCTACCCATTCACAGAAGCCTTTTTATTATGTGAAGAAAATACAAAGGCACCTGTGAATGAACAGCAGAAGGGAGGGGCAGACATAACTGCAGTGCCTGCTTCTCTCCTCTCACAGGAAGAGGATACTCCCTAGGGAGTGCAATAAATCTGTCACATATAATAGATACAAGTCCTGGAGGAGACCTGCACTTAATTGGACTTAATGCATAATGTGCCTGCACTTTTAGCGAAGTTGCTGAATTCCTGGAACTCCGCTTTAAAAACACTACAAACATATATGCAATTTGATTAGATGATTGGGTTTATATATACTATAGAGGAAATTCTACTTATCCCCTGTGCCAAATATAGGTAGCCATACTTGCATACAGTTTTGATACAATCATATGTACGGTACTTTTTATTACCATATATGAAACATAAATGGCTGCAAGATGAGAGTACAATGTCTGTTTCTTCTGTGCATTACTAATAAAGCAGAGGAAAGGTGGCCTGTCCATTTTCACTGATTTGTTTGAGGATCTGATTCCTAATAAACTAAATTTGTTTTCTTCTTATGCAAATGCCTTAAAATAACACTGCGTCACATTAACCCATTTCAGAGCAACCTGAAAGAGATGCCAAAACTGGATTGATATCTATTCATCCTACAGTACTTCCAGAAGCTACTGCTACCTTATTAGATGAAAAGCTACATCTGCTCTCATGGTTAGGGCCATGAGAAGGGTCCCTCTGCAATGCTGCTACCAATGGCAGTAGCACAGTTTTCATTCTTACCAACATCTGGTCAATGAAGTTTTTCAATAGGTCGGCCACTTTCCTGGTTTTTGCAGCAGCATTGTGATAGATCACAGTTGTGGCTCCTCGGTTCCAGTCCACTAAAATGACGTTAAAGTCATCGATAGTGAGCAATTTCTGGACAATGTCATCCAGCCACACAGGAGGAGATCCAGTAGGCCGATAGCCATGAGTGATGAATATGGTTTTCCTTGCTACGTTTAGATACTGAAAAGCAGTTGTGTTCTCCCGATTCAGATCCCCAGCACAGTGTCGATTTTCCCTGGTATAAATTAACAACTGGACCTTCAGTTCTGTTCCAACAACAGAGTGGTGTAACCCGAGATCAGTGAATTCATAGCATGTTCCGTTTGTATCTGAAAGGGAAAAGAATTCAGAATGCTTTAGTATGGGTATTTATTGGTCTGGTGATCTGGCATCACATAAGACCAGTGCTCTGGTAAATGTTTTGTGGTCAAGGTTCCAAATCATTCCTTATTTAAAAAAAACTAAAATATTAAAAAAGCAGTTATGACTTATGCCTCTCATTAAGACTTATGCCTGTTACAAATGCCAGACCTTGACATATATACAGCTATAGCTTAAAGTGTTACTAAACCCACAGCAGTAAAATCAGTCTGTATATGCAGTAAAGGATACTTGTTACTGTATATTCACTGTGGAACCTAAGGGGTTACTCCTCCGCATTGTGTAAAAAGGCTGTTTTATTCTGTCTTCTCTGGTCCTCCCCTTCTACTGTCCCTCAAACCATTTACTGATAGTACAGAGCTCTGGTAGTTACTCTACACATGCTCGGTTTGGTGTGTATTGCTGGAGAGTTTTTTTTTCTCTTTCTTTGGGAGGGTGCATGTCATTAGCACAGGGCTAATCGGCACTGTCCAGACAGAGGGTCAGGGGTTATGCAGCCTCATAGGACAGTCAGAGCAGAATGAAAGCTCCTCCTACAAAGCTTTAACCAGTGCTCAGCTAGACACTGATAGAAGTCACAAGGTTGCTCTAAAATGCTGATGAGAAAAAGTATTTAGCAGTTTTATATTTACTACAATAATTTCATTTCCATGTAGTGTGTACTGTGGGAGACCAGATATAGTGAATGCAGGAAGAAAAGAATGAAAAATTTCCTGTGCTCAAGGGACCGGATATGGTATATGTGGAAAAATCTTCATAGACCTTAGCATCTGAACCAATACGGCAATACTGTGCAGTCCCCTAAGGGCTGGGGTAGCCCAATATGGCACTAGAAAATAAGAAAAGAAGATAATGCGCAAGGCCTGTGCGCTTCTCTTTTCTTTTCCTATTTTATAGTGAATGCAGGGTCATGGGTTTAGTAACACTTTAAAGCTGAATTCCAATGCTAAAAACATATTTAAATATATTCATCAATATCTATTTTTACTTTATGTACACCAATAATCTTTGCAAACCTAGGTATTACATTGTAAAAGTAGCAGTGACATGATCACTGAGCTGTATATAGCCCGTACAGACTACAGAGATGTGGGGGGGGGGGGCAGTAACTCTACCCACTACAGGCTGCCTGCAGAAAACTACAGGAGACAATGTAATGTTTTACACTGGATTACTGCAAAGATTTGAAATAAATACACAAATCTCAGCAAGGTTCAAGGAAGAATACACAACTCTTCTATTTAGACAACATTTGTTTGTCCCGGAGTTCTGCTTTATGGAATGGTATTCTAAAAATTGGCATTATGTTTTTTGGGACTCTCAACTCTCCCTGCAGGCATGACAGAACGTTACCTGACCTGGGTGTGCCATCATATCTCCTGCCCCACCCAACAACAGTGTTATATGTATAGGACACTAGAATGGATAGACTGGATGATTTGCTGCTGATAAAATCTTGAGCTTGGCTTTGACCGCTTATTTTCATAGTGCAGGCTCCCTCTCTGGCAGCCTGAACTGAACTGTTGTGGAGGGGTTGATGAAAGTATACTACAAATAGGTAAGTGATAAATAAATCAATAAGTGATAAATATATCTTGTGTATCCAAAATAATTCATAAATTCAATGTATAAACTAATAACTGTGATTCACACAAATAAATCATCGGTGTGCACATAAAGAAACCAAGTCCAAACGTGTAACTTGTGAAAGAAGAAGAAAAGTGATCTCCACTTCTAGTACACAAAATCCTTGAATGGCAGCAGTGCCTGCTCACCTCCCCACATTGACCCACACAGGGCCAAAAGGCTATTAGTCTCCTCTATGGCCGATCCTTATTGCAGGTTACTCATCCAGGGATCGCAGGACTTCTACTCCACCTCCACTCAATAGTTATAAAGGACACAAAAAAGAACTTCCCATAGTGCAATATTGTTTAATGAAAAGAGTTTAAAATAAGGTGATTACACTCACATTTATCTCCTTGTCACAAACAGCATTTCACCTCATCCCATGGGTGTATAACATGAAGCAAGGGAAACCAATATGGCCGCTGCGTCCGGACATGTGTCCCCACGTGGCCGGAAGTGACGTAGCTAAAAAACCGGATATGGCGTACCGACGAGTTGCGTCACGTGCGTCAACAGGTTAACCCTGATGAAGTCACAACGCACGTGACGCAATAAGGATCGGCCATAGAGGAGATTAATAGCCTTTTGGCCCTGTGTGGGTCAATGTGGGGAGGTTAGCAGGCACTGCTGCCATTCGAGGATTTTGTGCACTAGAAGTGGAGATCACTTTTCTTCTTTCTTCTTTCACAAGTTACACATGTTTGGACTTGGTTTCTTTATATACACAACGATGATTTATTTGTGTGAATCACAGTTATTAGTTTATACATTGAATTTATGAATTATTTTGGATACACAAGATATATTTATCACTTATTGATTTATTTAATACATTCTCATAAAAATTAGAATAAGTGATAGTCTATTATCGCATAGCACTATGAGTTATTAATGGCACTATGATATATATATTATTTATATTGTAATGTACAGCGCTGAGCGAACTATTGGCGCTTTATAAATACTGTATAATAATAATAGCGCTTCACTAATTTACAGATACACTATTTGATTACTAATTGGTTTAAGTCGAGTGACAGCAGCTTTTATACATAGGGATTCTATCTATATAAAGCGCAGAAGGATACCTCCAATCATACTACAAATAGGAATTACAGTTAAAGGGTAACCCCACTTTCATGGAAACTAATACAGTGGCTAAATGGTTAGCACTTCTGCCTGGCAGTACTAGGGTTGTTGGTTCAAATCCCAACCACGGCACCACCTGCCTGGAGTTTGCATGTTCATCCTGTGCCTGCGTGAGTTTCCTCCGAGTACTCCGGTTTCCTCCCACACTCCAAAGACATGCTGGTAGGTGAATTGGATCCTGTCTAAATTGTATGTGTGTATGTATGAATGTAAGTTAGGGACCTTAGATTGTACACTCCTTGAGAGTTAGGGACTGATGTGAATATACAAATATATATGTAAAGCACTGTGTAAATTGACAGCGTTCTATAAGTACCTGAAATAAATAAATATATATAGCAAAATAAAAACTAATAGGCATATACAAATGCTACACAAACCATGTTATAAGTTAGTATTACGCAAAATTGCCTTTCATTTTCCATATGCAGCCACTGTAATGTTCCTTCAAATTCAGTGCAATACCTAGAGACATTCTGTACACAGCTGGTGTTTGATTGGCTTACCAATTTGCCCAAAAAAACTACAGTAAGATAAAAGACAACATTTTAGACACTCCTGCAATAGGAATTTCATTTTTAGTGCGATACTATTCAAGGATTAAATATTTCTAAAGGGATGCACACACTGCAGCTTTTCTCACACACTGGAAATTGCACCAGCTGATTACAATGAACCAGGCCATCCCTTTCAGAATCAGTATCCAAAAGGACAGGGTGAAACAAACAGCTATTTCTTCAGAGCAACAACAAAAAAGGTAGGAATCTGCAACAAAGTTTGTTGAAATCCTTGCAATATACATTGATCACCCAGAGGGGATTGGGTTTTTTTTTCCCCCTCAACAAAAGTGGAGTTACTCTTTGATTATAACCTGGACTTTGTCCATGATTCAGGGAAAGAACAGATCACTAAATGTGCCCCCCTCCGCATATGCACACTGTTCCCTTATGTTGTTCTGTTGTCTGGGGCAATGAATAATACTGGGTACTTCTGGATACCAGGTACATCTGGGAGGAAGGGGAGTTCTCTTTTTTCAATGCAGTACTGGGTGGTTTAGCAATCATTCTTCAGACATCAGCACAGCCAGGTGTGGTCAGGAATTGGACTTGAGCAACTGGAACCTTACACAGGGCTTCTTCCCAATCCCATGCCATGGGTATAAAGAGCAGCAGTGAAGTAAAAGGGGAGGTAAGCATAAGTAGCTGAGGGGGGGGGGGGGGGGGGGGCATTTATGTAAACCTATTGTTTGGCCTTGCACTGCAAATCTGTAACACATATTGTTGTGGTATTACATCTCGTTCACCACCATCCAACTTTGCAATCTGTTCTGTGGTTTGTATTACCATGTACATTACTTTTCGGTTGGCGAACTGGAATATTGAAATTGCCTTCTAAGCATCCAAATCTATCCTATGTTTGTCCAACAAACACCTATTGGCCTCATGCACAATGGGCATTTGCCCAGCTCTTCTAAGGGCTCATGTACACTGCAGCTGATAAAACTCACGTTCAGGAGCTTTTCTGCGAATTTTTTTCAGCAGCCCCTGAACTCTCCCTAATGTTTTCCTATGTGTCCATGTACACTATGTCATTTACAGGCAGTTGAGTTTACAGTCGTTTCTTTCAACGCACCACGAGCCTTCGCACGCCTTGACGTTACCGCCGGGTCAGGAGGTCCGGCGGCCCACCTTTGGTATTCACTGGTCAGTGTATAGAATCTCTTTTTCAAGCTGCTTATACTGGCTACAGGCTGCAGGCATGCGTTTTGTAACTTTTATGGTTTACGTTATTGGATTTAATAAATAATTTTAAAACATACTACACTATGAGTATTCTTACTCCTTACATTCACTGAGCAGCCAGCATTTTTAGGTTCTCTGCGTGGATCCAAGGAGCAGTGTGATCCGACCAGGCCAGCATCGCTTACCACCGACGGACCATCTGGGTACTATAAAGCAGCGCCTACATGGGACCCCGGCTACATGTAACCTGTAAGCGTATTAATATTGCGCTTCTGGTAAGCAGGCAATTTATCTATTCCTGGATTGGATTGCATCTATACTCCCTGAGAGTCCCCCATCACTGAACTGTTTATCATCTTCAATATTCCTATATTTGATGACCGCATATATAATTGTCACTTGGATATTATTTGTAGCGCTGCACTTTATTGT